TGGTGGAGTCAGGCTGGTGGTGAAGTATTTTTTTTAATACAAAATTTTCTCCCTCACTGTCTCTTTTCTTAATTTTTTTATTCCTCCTCCTGCCCTAGACAGTAGGCTTACAGGGGTGTAAGGGTGGTTGGGTGACTGGAGCAAGCAGATGACTGTGGCATTTCTGGGGGAGCTGTAGCTGCCCCAAACCCTAAAGCCCAAGAAACCAACTTTTTTTCTAGAAAAAAGGGGAAAAAAAAAAAACATTTGTGGTGCTGCCCCAGGTGTCCATGGGCACCTCTCCCTGGCTGTGTGCACGCCCTGGTGCCTCCTGCCGTGTGAGGGCTGTGGTGCCACACTGGTCTGTCCCCTCCCGGTCGCCCTGATGGCCATCTTCCCAAGCGTCCAGTGCAGCGCTCACAAACCTGCCCAGTAAATGCTTTTAGCATCACGTTAGTGCTCAGCGAAAATGGGTTTGGATGGGGTGAGCCTGGGCAGAGGCGAGAAAGGGTTTTTCCGTGAGGAAGCTGCTTGCCTGAGTTGCGCTCAGCCGTCCTTGGCGCAGTGTGAAGCTCCTAAGTGTGGGATGGGGCCCTGCTGGGAAGGGGTTCAGCACCAGGGGGTGGTTTTGGGTCCCGGTGAATGCAGGGAGCATGCAGGAGGGCCAGTGTCCTGCAGGACTGGGCCTTGTGAAAGGGCTCTGTGATGGGACTGGGGCTACCCCGCAGCTCCCGAAGAGGAATGGTGTTCACACACGTCTTGTTGGTGGCTCGCCGTCCCAACAGACCTCCTCCGTGGCCTCCCTGTGGGATGAGGAGTCAGACAGCAAACCCACATAAACCCGTATCTCTCCGGTCTCCATTGATCTTTTCTTTAAATTACCTTTAAACGGTCGCTCATGACCTTTTGGATTTAACCAAAGGCTCCTGAGCTTGATAACTCTGTCCCTCAGAGGTGAGGCTGGCGTTGGTGTGGAGCTGAGCACTGCTGCAGAAATCCCTGCTCCCTAACACAGCCATAGCTCAGCAATAGCTGAGTTGCTTTTTGTTCCACAACAGCCGGACCCGCTGTCTTGCGCAGTGGGGAAAATATCCCGGCTGGTTACACTGCTAGGCAGCCTTGACTGCCATAATTTGAACTCTGTGGCTGGACTAAAAGAGCTGGAGGGGCTGAATGAGCGTATTAATTACTGTTACATTTCTGTATTAAGTATTAAAAAAAAAAGCAGAACTTGAAGTTCATTCTCTTGCAGTGAGAAGGAGTAAACAGCGATAGCTTATCCAGTGAGGTGTTAATTTGAATTATGCATCCGAAGTACTGAAACAGATTAGCAATTAGTGGTAATCACTGGACTAGATTAATTTTTAACATCCCAAATTTATCTATGTTTTTTTTGTAAGATAAACTTGCCATTTAGCAGCAAATTGGATCTGCAGCTGCTGATTGCAGAATGGCGTAATGCTGCACAAACAGCTCTTTCCTGCGTCCAAAATGGACACGGCCATTAGAGTTTTTCTTAAACATCCAAAAGTTCTGTTTTTTGTTATTTTTATTGTTGCGAATACTTTTAAATACGCCTTTGGGATCTGATCCTGCAGCCATGTATATTTTAAAACACCCTTTTTTTATTCTCTAGAGTTTTGCCAGACACTCTGTGCACTAAAGGTATCAAGGTAGTCTCTCTTAAAAGTGGAAACCAATGTTAATTAAAAGTGTGAATTTAACATTTGATCTGATGCTCCTGGTGCATCTGAGAAAATAATGAGCCACAGTCAGTTTTCATAAAACTGCAAGGGGTTTTCTACAAGCTCTGAGTTTCACCAGATGTTTACAGCTGACGGCACACTTTGCTTAGCGGAGATTTTTATTTTCGGTTCTACCAGTTATGGGGCTGGGGGAGAAGAAAAATTTTCAACAAAGATCTTTCTTATAGAGCAGCTTAATGCTTGTCATGGATGTGTGATGGAAGTGATCTGTCCACAATCCCGTGTCCCAAATCCTGGGTATGAAGCATGAACAGCTGATACGCTGTTCTGTTTGATTTCAAGACCTGGCACCCAAGTCTTGGGCTATGTGGTGTGATTCCCAGAATGATGCCAGCATATATGTTACATTTAAAACAGCCTGATCCTGTCAGTCTCGTGTTTTACTATTTCTTATAGGAACATTGCTTTCCCACCCCAACCCGTTCACATAGAATTAATGTTGAATGCGGAGGAAAAACGGTATCCTTCCCTAGTCCTTAGTTTGTGAGCATATACCTGATGCTGTAACTTTACAGTTCCTGTATCTCCCACATTTATAATATGACTTCAGTAGTGAAACAAAGGAAAACTGAAGTTAAAATGTGTAAATGTTAAAATGCAGCACTTGGATAATAGAGGTAGTTTGGGAGCATTAGTGTCAAGTTAGTTAATATTTCTAACATTGTATTTCTTCTTGTGACTTCGCTTGACAACTTTTTTGCCAAAATTTTCTTTTTTGCTGCCTGTCTGAAACAGGTGGGTCCAAAAGTGCAGCTTCTATGCCAGTTACATCTCAGATGCCTTTTGCAGAAATAGTCAGGAGAAACTCCTTTCAGGAAAAAAGCTGCCCAAGGAAAGAAAACTATGACCCAAAGCAGCGGGAATTCCGAACGTAAGGGATGCAACATTAATCTCCTGGTGGTGTGTAGAGACTCATAAACAAGATTGCAAATGTGGATGACTTCCAAGTAAAAGTACTAGCTTACAGCCGCTAACAGGCTACTAATAAAGATTACTTCATCTAATCTTACTTAAAGTATATTTATAAAATATAACACTGCCAAGTTAGATCACAGTGTGGATAAGATGCATGTTGAATCAATTAATTGTATATAGGTATTCATGTTCTGTTTACAGTGAGTAACAACACTCTAGTATTTAATGCATTTTCAGTTACGCAACACTGGGACTGTTTGTTCTTGCTCTGGAAATGCAATATTTTGAAACACTTAAATCTTGTCACAGACGACTCCAAGTGATGTGGGAGGCTTGATCTAGCCTGTGACAAGGCATGGTGGGGTAGAACTGAGCCAGTACTTACCCTCTGCTGGACAGTGCTGGGGAGGGAAAGTTGTGGAAGTAGTCCAGGGCAGGATACCAACAACCAAGTAATATTGTACGCTGACATTTCATCTGTAGCATGTAACAAGGGGCTCCTTTTGCCTGAACTATACGAGCTTCTCTTGGTGTCTGCTTGCTGTTCCTATGGAGATGTATTTCAAAAACTGTCTGTTTCTCATTGCCAAATTATGGTGTGATACTGTGTGGGCCCCATCCTCTGTCTTCCTCTTGCTTAAAACTAACTGGGTGCACGAAGGCTTTTTCGTCTGTTGTCTGGCTCAGGTTCTAGTTTGGATAAATGCTGTCTGTATTGCAAACAGTCTCCCTGGGAGAGAGACTGAACACGCTTGACCCTGCCATCAATGGAAATTGAAGAGCCTCGGGACCTTTGAGGAGTACTTGTGGTTTTTTGCATTGTCTACATAGTTGGTTTTTTTTTTTCTTTCTCCTCTCCATCCCACTCCCCTTGCTCTCTCTTCAGATATTTATTAACAATGAATGGCATGAGTCTACAAGTGGAAAGAAGTTCCCCACCTACAACCCTTCAACGCTGAAGAAAATTTGTGACATTGAGGAAGGAGACAAGGTAAGTGTTGTTGGAAAGGCAGTGCAAAAGAAAGTTTCCGAGGGACTTCCTTTTGTAGGGAAGCACACAGAGGAAAACTGGCTTTTAATGACAACGAACATCTGGCCAGGCTGTGAGCTGGAGGTCTGGGACACTAGATGTGCTGCTCAAGAATTACACAGGGTGGGTGGGATCAATCCTGTCCAACTCGGCAGAGTCACTTTCCCTGGTAGGAACTGCCTGCCAAACACTGTCAGAGGAATGAGATTCAGCATCATTCTTGTGTTATAGACTGGAAGGAAGCAGCCAGTCTGAGGAAATAGCAATGATGGTGTGTGCACATCCCTGACAGAACTTGGGCCTTGTGTTGGAAGTGGTTTATACATAAGCTGCATGGCAGCCTGTTGGTGACACTGAACTGAAACTTGCCCTTTTTTAAACAAAATTGACAAGTAACCTGAGTGCTTGGGGGAATTTAAGCTCAGTCATGCAAACACTGCCCACTTTCTGCTAGAGATGCGGTGCTGCTTTTCCAACTGATATCATGGGTTCTGGCCTCCTGCACAAATGTGGTAACTCTCAGTTAAAACCAAACCAGTATCTTTCAAGAACTTCAGTGGTCCCTGGTCCTGGTGTGCTGTAGAGTAGCCTGGGACATAACTGGTGGGATTTGGTAACAGTCTGAGGTGAGGATACTTTTTGTCCAAAACAGCTCATCACGTATGGGCCAACTGGCCTCATCTGTGGGGAAGAGCTGGCCCAAGAGCTGGCTTTCTGCAGTATGTCATGGGAAGGTGATTCACAGTTTCTCTGCTGTACCAGGGCTTTGGCTGCTCATTGCTGCTGGCAGTAAGTGATGGGTAGTGTGGGCATTTCTGCCTGTACTGTGGTATCTTTTTCTTGGTATCTAAGCTTGTCCAACACTGTGAGGCTCAATGCCTGGATTCCAGCCAGGTAGCTGCTTTGGGGATTCTTTGCTAGTAGGAGTGATACTAGTTGAGCAGGTGCTCAGCTAGTGTTTTCTGGTATTATACTCTGTAGACTATAGAGTCTGACCCTTCCAGAGGTGGGAGCAAACTTGCTTGGAATACAAATCTCCAGCCTGCATGCAAATAGTGTGTAAGGTGGCCGTTCTTTTTGGATGGCACTAAAGCAGCCTCTGTTGAGACCTATTGCCATGGGGGATCTGTGCATCCATGGGGCAGTTACAGGTTGAGGCAGAACCAAACATTATGTGTAATTCCTTATACTAACTGGATAGGACACAACTGTCTTTAATTGCAGTGGCATGTAAACAGTAAAGTTGAAGCTAACTCTGATGCAACTGTATTTTGCTGGGCAGAAACCATGACGTTGCTATTGTTCCCTGAGCTAAGTGTCTCCTCCAGCAGTTATAGAGCATTACATGAGTATTTCAAGCCTACTTCTTAATAACTTGGTTAAAGAAAATTGTAATGCAGATCTAAAAGGCCAGTTTTGCAGCTTGCCTCCTTGAGACTTGTCCCTCCCTGAATTCAAGGATAGGTTTCAGCTTCTAGCTTGCAGGAGAGTCACTGTAAACCTTTCCTTGGGGCCAGTCAGTGGAGCCCTCTGCCTGTGGATACTCAGCATAGGTGCCCAATTCCTCGGTGCATAGCATAGTTGCAGGCAAGAATGTAAGTTAGCTGTGCCTTGGGTGCCAAAAACCTCTTCTTCCACCCCTTTACATCACACAGATTTTTTTAATTTTTATTTTTTGCTCTAGTTGGTTTTTGTGAGGGACTGAGTGAGATTAGATCTGGATCTGGATTAGTTAGAAGGCAAAGTCAGGGCTGAGAAGCAACCCAAACCCAAGCTGTTTGGTTACTGGTGACACTTGACCATGTCCCACTGTCCTCTGGGCAAACTGAGTCCCCTGAGACTTCCTTTGCCCTGCTTGAACAGCCCCTCCTAATCTGTAACTCCAGTCTGTTGGAGTTACTACAGAAAGTGGTGAGTTGTGTTTGGTGGTGCTTTCCAGCATCTTGTCCCCACGTGCCACTGTACTTGGTTGTGTTGGTCAGTACCACCGCAGGGGTGGCAGTTCCTGGTATTGGCTCTGGATTCAGCTGTGCTGTATCAGGGTTGGCTCTGCCTTCCTGGGAGCAGGACTCTACTTCCCTAGCCCTGAACGTAAAACTGCCCCTCCCTGGCCGTGCAGAGTGTGTTTTCCTTAGCCTGTACGTGAGGGGTGGGAATTTGGCAGCCAATATCTCAGTGATGACAATTTATTCTGGTGCTGAAACTTGGCCAATGCTTTATGAGGCTAGGAGCAAAGGTTTTGTTGTTTGTTCTTTAGTTACAGAATTTAAGACAGAATTGCCCTTGATGGGATAGTTGGGGGATAAAGGGAAGTCTTGGGTGGAAAAAGAAGCACTGAAAATAAAATGGCAAATGCTTCCACTGGATGCTTGGAGGCTTTTTGCTTCCCAAATAACAGCTTAGTGTCCAAGTGTTTGCCAGGTTGATAACAGAGAAAGAATAACTTTCTTCATTAGACTTCTGCCCCCAGCAAATAGTGCAGCCCCAGAACTTCCACCCTGTCTTGGTGTTACCATGTGAAGACAAAAATACTTGCACCATTGTCATTTCTCTGGTGCTGTCAATAACACTTGAAGACAGGCTTTTTTCTTCTAGCAGCTTGCTAACAGCCATCCAGGGCAGGGGGAAAGGTGCTCCTTCCTCAAAGGAGTGCCCAGCTTGGCTGGCTGCCACAGAACATGGGCAGCAGGTTCACATTGTGACTGTCGAGCAGACTTGATGCTGTGGAGTGTCTGTCATGATCATTTCTAAGCAGTTCACTCTCCCATGTGGATCTTTGAAGGGTTGTAAGAGGGTTTTGTTCACAGTCATTCTGCCCCCCTCAGATTGCAGTGGCAGGCTGAGGTAAGAGGCTACAGGAATATTATTCCCTACAGCAGACTTGCAATGACCTCGATAGTGGTTTTGGACACTTCAGGCTGTTAAGATGCTGGTTTTAGCAATAGGTAGTTTGGCTCAAAAGTTAGAGCAATGCATTGTGTAGACTGTTTGCAGGGGAGCAGGTCAGTTCTGAACCTCTTCTAATTGAGAAACTGTGGCATGCTCCTGCCTTTCCGAAGAAGTGCACAGTGGAGGTTTTTCAAAGAAGTTAGTAAATGAAGTCAAGAAAGACAGTCTCCACTGGGTGTGCTCCATCCCTGGCATGTCTCCTTACTAGCCAAACTGAAGCAGTGTTGTGCATGCTGAGCCTGAAGCAGAGCAAGGCTTTTTTTGCAGGGGTTTCCCCTACTCACAGAGCCAGTGGGGTGATGGTTTCCACTGTGCTCTGCAGCCTGCTGCTGAGGCAGGGGAGAGGAGAAAGGGGCAGGATAGAAATGGAGCAACGATGAGCAGGACTTGAGGTAGAGGAGGAAGGTGGAGGAGGTAACTTAGAACAAAGAACGGTTTGAGTTTGTTCAGGGGAAGATGGTATGCGGTTGTGTAACTGGGGGTTGTATCATAATGCAAACATCCAGGGTGGGTATGAAGGTTTGCAGGCATTTCTCAATGCTGCAGTGCTTGACTTTGCAACCTTAATATTCTCTTAGCAGAGTTTTTTATGTAATGCTCAGTAAATCTGTATAGATCAGAACTGAGCACCAGGATGCACGGACCTCCTCCTTGTGGTTTTGTATACCACGGTGTGTCCCTGGCACCTTGACAGTTACGAGTCTTTGTCACGCATTGTGCCTACCTATTGCAACATGCCTGCAATGAACATGCCATTCAGACTCCCCTAATGCCTAGTCATAACAGGATGGATTAAGAATGGCATTTCAGCCTTCCTGAAGAATTTCCTTGTTTTTGCTGGTCTCTCAGGCCTATTGAGGCTGTGCAGGCTCACAAGATCTCACTTGGTGGTGCTACCCCTGAGGGTGTTTTGGGGAAAGCCTTTTTGTTTATGTGGTAATGACTGCAGTCTCCAAGCTGCTATGTGTACCCAGCATGTCCGAGAAAAGAGACAAGAATGAAGACAACTAGTATTTGCAGGAGCTGCAGCAGGGCTCAGGTGCTCCCCTGTTTAGAGGATGGGGAGGATCTGGGCATGCACTGAAGTCATCTGCTCACACAGCCATCTCGTCCCTGTTCCTGTGGGTACCAGAGTGGTGGTTGCCTCTCAGTACTAAGGGCATGCTGCATTGTGGCCTGTGCCACTACAGACCCAATGCTCTGCACGTTGGTGCTCCCAGCCTGGTCACAGAAGCTAATTAATTGCTGCTAAGGGAGGACTTGTTTAAACCTGACACACTTCTCATGTTTCTTTGTCTGCTTTGTCACATAAAAATATTGCCTTCTTTCAGCTTGAGTCTTCATTCCAGCAGGCAGGATGGGGAGTACATAAGTGTGCAGTGGCTGGTGGTGCCTTCTAGCTTTTGTGATGTGCCAGTTTGAATCCAGATCAACTCAACTGAAGCGAACCATTCTGCGGGCCCATTCTGCCTATGGGTGATGGGCCCCAGGCAGGACATGCCTGCCTGTGCGCAGTGGCTGCTCACTACCTCTGCCTCACCAGCATCCTTGCTTGAGCAGAGCCATTCTTAACCCCCTGTAACAGCAGAAGTTTCCTCCAATGGTTTCCCTATCAGTGCCCTTCCAAAAGGGTGGGGTTCTTTTCCTGGCAGTATAGGTCACACTGTTTTAAAGCTGTGTGATCTTCTTGTAAAGAAAAGGAGCCAAATTTAGTGTAAGGTGCCATTTCAGTGGGTGATGACTTGCTGTTTTCTCCATTAACTTTTGCTGTAAGAAGGCAACATGTCTCCCTATAACATTTTTCTTGGTTGAGCACCACACATTTCCCCATGAGGGAAGAATGGCCAGACCTTGTTGGATCAGTGCGGAGGCTGATTTCATAATTGTATCCAGACAAGACTTGAGATAAGACACAAATGAGAGCAACTGGTGAAGTGCTATGAGGAACTATCAAGGCCTGAAACTCTCTCTCCTTTTCCACCCCCTTGAGCCACATATTGCAGTGAGGTGCAAGTTCTCCATCAGCTAAAGTGAGGCGTGGGCTGTGCCAGACATTACGTAGAGCAGGATTCTGTCCAAAGCCAGGGCGAAGCATGCTTTATGTATGCTTGGGGTACAGTCTTGGCCTCGTGGATATTGATGGCAGTGTTCCCATTGACTTTATTGAGTCAGGAGGTTGCCCTTGGCTTCACTTTTTTTAACCAATGTATGTGGGGAGAAGGAGGAGTCCAGGGCGTACTGTGGCCAGAGCAAATGCATGAAGCTTCTCGGGGGGTGGTGGTGTGGGAAGAGAGGGAATTCACTGCCCACCTGAGTAGTAACTTGGGTAAACAGTTAGATTTCATCCAGAGCACGGTAAAGCAGTTGGGAGATGAGAGAGTGGTGCTAAGTCTGTGTAGGTGAAATGCCTTTGTCAACAAAACCCTTCCTATCTGGTAGAAATGTTCTGGAAGTGTGATCTAGGATCTAAGGGAGCTTTTTTAGTGTGTTACTGGCATGGGTTCCAGTGGGACTGAATGGGGGGCTCTGAGCTGTGATTGTTTCCCTGGATAAAACCGTGATCTCCCTCATGGGGGACTTTCCTCCTCACACTTGTTCAGACAATGATTCATGCAGGCCAATGGCCTGTCACGCTTAGGGAAGCTGTAATGGGAACAGAATTGGGATTTTGTTTCTCCATTCTCCCCCAGTGTCACTTACATCCTGTATCGGCAGGAACACAATTCTGGATTATTGTATAAAGAAACTAGTTGCATAAAATTACCCTTGAAAGACCCTGTTGGTACTCTGACCCCAAGGTTGTTTAGCAGCCCAGGCCAAACTCAAAACTTACTGCAGGCTTGGGTCCAAATCCGGCAGTAATATGGAAGTGGTTTTGTCAGACAAGTTGGTTTTAGCCACCACAGCATCATCTAGGAAGTAGTCTGATCGGGTTTCTGTGCCATTGTCCGGCTCCTTCCTTGTAACCTAAGGTTTTCTTGTGTATGTGGCTGCTTTAGCCTGATGTGGATAATGCAGTGGAAGCAGCGAAGGCAGCATTCCAGAGGGGAGCTCCGTGGAGACAGATGGATGCCCTAAGCAGAGGACGACTCCTGCACAAGCTGGCTGATCTTCTTGAGCGAGACAGAGTCATCCTGGCAGTAAGTACTGTGATCGGTGAGCAGTGATAAACCAGCAACTGTTGGCTGATAACTCAGCTCCATCCCTCTGATTTTGCTGCATCCATATCTACCTAATGTTCTTTTTTTCTCTCCCTTTATGAAAGGCAGAAGAGTCCATGCAGGAGTCATGGCTTATCTTCCTCTTCCTGCAGGATGATTTTAGGGGTCTTAAGAGAAGGGTCTTAGTTCTTCTATATAGTTGACTTCTCCAGAACTTTAGCTAGTTATTGAAGTGATTACAGATATTAAATTAAGAAAGAATGCTTATTGCTTTGAAAATTTCATGTCATCAATGTTCATAGCTGTCTCCCAGCTCTCATCTTAAAAAAAAAAAAAGGCAAACAAAAACCCCAAAACAACCAACCAACAAACAAACCCAAAACAAACAAACAACAACAATAATCAAACAAAAAAACCCCCTAAACTACCACAACTGACACAGTCCTTCTTTATTACAAAAATGCAAGGCCAGTTTGACTTCTTTGCAAATTGCTTCCCCTAAAATGGGGGGCTGGAAAGAGAATCTTTCTCTTGCTGGATGTCATCCAAAGTTTAAAATGTGTGTAAGTGGGAACTGTTTCCTTCCCTACTGAATGTGCTGGCTCAGGAAAATCTCTTTATAGCCGTGAAGCTGTGTTAATTTGGACTTCTGCACTGAAGAACTATTGCTAATTATTCCCTGTCCTGTCCTGAAGGAATCCTCCTGGTGCAGAACAAGGGGAGTAGAACCCGAGCTAAAATGCTGCAGTTGGTGGAAGCCTTTAGAGACTATGGGCCTTGGACATCTTTCCAAATCACACCCACAGATCCTAGCATCTCTCAGCTTAGAGCTGCTGTCAGTCCATACCTAAGATCTTGGACCTGAGCACTCACCAGTTCGATGCTGCACTTTGGCTCTACTTGTCTTCAGGGGAATGGCATTTATGACATTTAGTGCTGTTAGATGTGTAAGTTCCTGAGCTGATGTCCCGCTGAGGTCAGTAGAACTTAACATACATGGGATGTGCTTCGGAGCCTGACTGTTTTGAGCTGGGTCTCTTTTCCTAACACAGTGTCTCTTATGACAAAACCAAAAAATCCAGGTCTGAAGGCAGTTCTGGCCTTCAGAATAAAGGAAAGCAAATAAAAGGGGAAAAAATATATATTTGTGTGTGTGTGTGAATACACCCTGTTCATTTTCTGCTCACTTTTTGATGTGTCTTCAGAGGACCCTCCTTTTTCCATAACCAGGACACTCGTTTCAAGCTTTCTGCTGTCCTTCTGATCTGGGAGGGCTTGTTTGGCGTTGTTATTTTCACTGCAGAAAACCAGCCGTAGCTGCCTTGGCTGCGTGCTAAGTAATGACTTATAAAAATCAGTTGTTTTAGCAGACATTCAGAGTGGATAACAATCCTAGTCATTCCAAGGGGAATGTCTGTTTGAGTGCTGTTTGGACCCTGATGTCTGTGGTAGATGACAGGGTATGACTTCATATGTAAACAAAGATGTTTCAATCTACCAAGGGATAGTACATCCTTTACGGATGTGCTGGCCATTTGCACCGATACCCAATTTAATGACCTGAGTAGAGAACAAAGCATTCACTGAGTTAATGTCCAGAACAGTGAGACGGACACAGGCCGAGACTGGACTTCATTTAGAGCTGCTCAGCATCAGTGCTACTTTAGTGAAGCAACTTCTCCCTTGCCTTAGTCTCAGCACAGATCTGAGCCCAAAGGTTACTTTACCAGAACTCTGTAAAAAATGTGTTTGCTATCATCCTCTGGACAAAAGAGGCTTTTCAGAGGTTGGTTTTAGGGCTATGAAGCAGAAGACATAGATTTCGAAATAAAAGGAAAGTGGGTCTGACTGATTTCAGTGACACCATCTGGAATCCAGAACATCTGCGTCGGAGGGTCAGTTACGGTGAAGTCATGACACTCACATCATTTCTTACCGGTGCCCCAGACCATAGCCCTGTATCCCACCCACAGCCACCTTCTGGAGGCTTCTGGAAGATGCGCTTTCATTGCAGTCACTGAACAAAGCAACTTGTGTATGCATTAGGGTTATTGGGTCTAGTCTCCCTTCTACCTTATTGGTATTAACAAGCTCGTTCCTTAAATACAAGGTGAGGGAAGGAAACCTCATGTCTGCAGCACAAGGCAAAATAAAATTGAGAAGGAGTTTCTCTAAAAGCTTTTTTCAAGAAAAAAACATTGAATTGTCTGACAGTGCATGCAATTTGTTTTTTCAGACTCTGGAAACAATGGACACAGGAAAACCTTTTCTGCAGGCTTATTTCATTGACCTGGAAGGTTGTATAAAAACACTCCGATATTATGCTGGATGGGCTGATAAAATTCAGGGCAGAACTATCCCAGTGGGTAAGTTCCTTCAGACTTGTTTTAAATTCAGACTAATTCTTAAAGAAAAAACCCCACACATTATAAGGGAGTTTATTCATTAGGTATCACTGAAATGAATTAATGCCAGAGAGTGGAAGGACAGAGGTTTCTAAGGAGAACTGTATGAAGGCAGCAGAGCTTGTGCTATCCTAGATGTCACAGGGATGTGGCAGAAGGTTGATGTGGAATCCACCAGTGCCTCCCACCTCACTCTCATTCCTGCATCCCTGACAGTGCTGGCTCACAGATGTTTAGAGAGATCATGTAGCGCTTTTTCTTAACGTTTATTAAAGAGAAGATGTTGACTCCTCTCAGGAGCCAAAGCACTGAGCTCTTGGAGGGACCCTGTCAAGTTTTCTGACACTTGAAAGAGGTTTTTCAAAATGTTTCCTAGGCTACAGAGCCAAAGCAGTCACACTGCACTGTTGTGGCAGGGACAGAGAGAACACTTTGGCTCAGCTATATAAGTTCAAATATGGTTTTGGGGAGAACAAGTTAAGACAATGGATGTCCATGTGGCACGATGACTAATATGGTGTATTTTCAAAATCACCCTGTTTTGTCCCTGCATGCGGATGATCACTGAGGCTGTATGAAGGACAGGCACTGCAGACAAAAATTAGTCACCAGAGGAAGGGCTCTGAAGGGCTGAACTAGTTCAGTCTGTGCAGGCAGCAAAGGGAGCGATGTCAGTCATATAAACTGAGATCTGTCACCCTCATTCAGAATAACGTGAAGCTTTGCTTGCCTGGACACTGCTCATTGGTCCTGATTTGAGATCACTTCCTGTAATTAGAAATGTTCGTGTTTTCTGTCAGATCTTCCCAATGAAACTAGGTTTTCAGCAAGAATGAATTTATAAGGCAAATAGCCTTCCTACTTTCTCTTTGAAAGAGTAATAGCAGTATTTTAAGATGAATGGTATTACTTTACTCCCAGAGTTTCATCTTTTTGTGATTTCTTACCAGAAATGCAATTCCTGTTACACTGAATATGATTCCTGTACAAAATGGGTTTAAAAACTCTCCCCCTCAAGGAAACAAGTGCTTTGCTTCTTTCAGTGAGACACAATCTGAATGAAATTGGTGCTTGCTCTTCAGTGTGGTAGGGAATTATCCTCCACCTTAGCCTCAACACAGGGAGATTGCAGAAGGAATTGAACCCCTGGTTTTAAAAAGCTCCACTGTGAACATGAGCAGTGTTTGGCTTTTGAGCTAATACAAGACCTATTCTCAAACAGACCTTCATCTGCCTGGGATGTCCCAGAGGCATGAGTTAAGATGAACAGATGTAGGGTTCTTTGTCTAATATGGTTTTAGTTCTGTCCCCAACCTGTTA